GATCTTTAAAACCCGCTTGGATGCAGCCCTGTGCCACGTGCTCTAGGTGACCCTGCGTGTGCAGGGGGGTTGGACTCGATGACCTCTGAGGTCCCTTCCAACCTTCGGCATTCTATGATTCTATGATTTACAAACTTAGGTTAATAAAAAGGTGATTGCCTGAGCTATTTATTTACTTGTAAATACACATCTCAGTAAATGACTGTTGAGATGTTTTCTGGGGGAAAACCATGAATTTCAGCTTAGCTACTTGACAGCACTTTGGCTTCTATTTATCTTAAACGAACTTGAGGGGAAAGTCCTGGCTTCACTGAAGCAACCTGGAATTTTGCCATTGCCTTCAAGTTAGGCAGAGTTTCAACCCTAACTTCAAGAGCAAAACCCACTGACGCCTAAAGAGACAATAGCTTTCAGCACAGAATTATCTATACAAAAAATATTTTCATGGAATTACTTTCTCCTGCATAGTAATTTGAAGATTAAAAAATGTTGGCTAGCCTCATTTACTTTGTTCTAAGAATATAGAAGGTAGCTCTTGTGCGCTGCCTGCACTGAAAGCTTACTTTGCCCACACACATAGTTCAAGGAGATGCATACATGGCCTTCTAACCTCACACTCACTGTATTATCAACGAACCGCAACAACTTCTCTGAAATCCCTCTTGCAACCGTTTCAGTATTTAGAAACAAAGCAATGCTCTGATGCTACACTCTGTAATTTGGGGATTAAGGGTAAGGAAGTACTCAGTGATTGTGTTTTCCACAGTTTAGCGGACAAGCTCACAGGGAATGCCCTGCTGCACAGGTTCTCCTGGCACCTCAAATTTCACCAGCTGTTCTGCAGAGTCCCACAGCAGAGCAGCAGCTGGGGACTCCCGCGAAGCGGCACATGGCCTGCCCCTGGCGGCTGGTGCCTCCCTGGACCTGCAGCTGGGAGCTGTAGGCAGAAAGGTGGGCTGCAGTGCCTTACAGAGGGAACTCACAGGCCACTGATAGTGCACTTTAATGTATATGGACCAAGAAATTTTCTTAACCTGAGAATTCACTGAAAGAATAACATGTCTGTGCCTGAGGAAACTCCATCTCCCCTCATGGACATCACTAGTCAGCCACAATGCACAACTAACATGCAGGAACTAGCCTCTACTCTCTGCAGCACAACATATTTTCAAAGATCTTGTGAAGGCCTTCAGCTCTAATTGTGGAAATAGGTAACCCTACAGCCCATCAAAACAAGTTCCACAGGCTACATATTAAACATAGTGACATATCCCTTCAGCCTTTTAAAAACAGACCTGCCACTAATTCCATACGGAGGTCTTCATGCTCGCTTTACTTTAATAAGCTTAAATACAATAGTAAAGCCAAAAAGAACAACAGTATTTCTTAAATAGATTTATTTCCCAGAGAGCATCCTCATTTGAAGAAATACTAAAGGGCATACATAGCATTATTTAGGTTCTTTTAGTCAGGAATGGTATTATTTTAGCATTGTACCACTAGATAGGACCTTGCACTATTTCGGAGAAAATGAAGGGGGAAAAAAAAAAAAATCTCATTCCCYCCAAATTATSGGCTTCAGGTCTCCACCTGAAAAGCTCTCAAAAAGCCAAAGGGCTTTGCTCTTACGCTGACTTCTTTAATCAGCCTAGAATAATACAGATCTGTACCACTGTCAGGGTAGCACTGGACTCATTTCTTCTGTATCACACATAGCACTGTGAAGTGGTACACACAAATACTTCAGGACATAATATGAAATAGGAAACACAGGCTGAGGACAAACCCAACACCATCCGCAAACATAGCAACAACATTAGGCCACTATAACCAATTCCAGTTAAGAACTTAGTCTGGAAATTTGATTCCTGCAATTTGGAACATTAAGACTCTGCACCAGCCTTTCTATAAGGGTAAAGCACTGATTATTTCAAGGAATATCTGAACACATTTATGAAAGTAAAAAAAGGGCAATATATGACTAGACCTGATGGTCCAACAGCCTCCTCCTCTCCCTCCTACCCCGAAAATATATTCCTTTAACTCAGACTTTCTGCCAAAGTTTGCATCAGATATCTCTACAGTAACTCTGCAAACAGCTAGTTACCCCCTTCCCAAGGCAAATGATGTTTCTAACTTCCGTATCTGATCTACTATTTGTCCAGTATTGGCACCTCAATACACAAGGGAAAAAACAGCACACTCCACAATAATATTAAAATATTTTCACAGATGCAAAGCAGCCTTACTTCCTCCTTGCCTATATTATGCCTCAACTCATCAGAAAGGGCCGTGACCAGTCTCTTTGCCTGAGAAGAGCTGGCAGTTTGGTTTGCAGGTGGTTCCTGCAACCACCCTACGGTATTCGGTCATTCTGACAGAGCAGGGCTAACCTCTGCAGAGGTGTTCTTGCAGCAAGAAGTTGCAGMCAGCTTGAAGGCACTAACGGCTCAGATTATCTGACGCAATATTCGACCTCCTGTTTCTGGAAAGGAAGATAACAGCCAGAACGAGGGAGTGTTTCCAACTCCTCTCCTGTGATACCTTGCACAAGGGTTTCCATAAGCATTAAGGAAAGAAGGAAACTGAGCAGAACTGCTTTGCCTCTCTGAATACTTCCTGCCTTACTCCACAACGAGGCATGGACACGCACACCTGCCCTGCTCCACTTTTCCATAGGAAGGGATGCAAAAGCCACAGTGCCTTATGTAAGCGGGYAATGAGGGAATTCTCCAGGGTCAGTTTCCTTCAGAAGAGGCAACCTTATTCTATCTTTAAAGTCAGGTAAGTACGAGTAGTAGTACACCATTTTTAGCTGTGAAAAGACTAATTTCTGGTTAAGTTCAGTTACTGCCGGCCTATAGAAGTTTTAAACATAAAAGCTTCAACACAAACAAGGCAACCTGACTGAAAGTTAGCTTGAGATGTACTTCAACAGCTCTCTGCCTTGTTTACTGCGGTCTTCTCAGACACTCAATTGAGATYGCTACACATAAGTGCCAAGTATGAAAAGTGTTTTTTTTCTTTTTATAAATAAAACATCAATCCATGGGCATTAAGAGGCCCGCCTTGGTCTGAACATACAGACGGGGTGTCTGCAAGTCAAACCCTGCCATGAAAGGTGTGTGCGTGGAGATCCACTTTACAGTTAGCGATAGGGACACCAACCCAGCTGCTCTCCTTTCCTCTGAGAGCCCACTCCACGGCCCGTGCACCCCGAACAAACGGGGCAGTTCGAAAGAGGACAAGCCCAGAGAGCCTTGGCTGCTTCAATGATGCAGCTAGCGGCGGTAGGCAGTGAAGGAGGCAAAGCCGAGGCTCGCGGCGGCACGGGGACACCCTCCGCTGCAGGAGTCCGGGAACGCCCAAACCCGCGGCGAAGGGGAAGCCCAGCCCGCAGGGTGGCCCCTCGCTGCTCGCACAGCCTACAAGCCACGTTTATATGTATTGTATTCATATGATATAGATGTATTTTGAAGGCTGCTGGCCGCTCGCGGCCGCCGCGCCGCCACCACCGACCTGCTCGTCCGGGTGCCGCCGGCGCCGGGCGGCCGCCGCCTCCGCGTCCCGCTCGCACTCGCACTCGCCGGGCGGGCGCGGCAGGAGCTGCGCTGCCGAGCCCATGGCCGCGGCGGCCGCTGCCGGGAGCCCCGCGGCGCACGGAGGGAGCGGGCGGAGGAAGGAAGGAAGGAAGGCAGGCGGGGGGCGACGGCGCTTCCTCCCCGCAGCGCCCAGGCAAGCCGCGCGCTCCCCGCCGGCGGCGGCTCCTCCCGCTGGCGGCCGTTGGGGCGGGGCGGGCGGTCACGCGGGCGGCCGTTGGGGCGGCCGTTGGGGCGGCCGTTGGCCTCCCGCCTCGCGCGAGCAGGCGCGGCGGGGCCGGGTGCCGCAGAGCGGCTGCTGGCAGCCGGCCGCGTTGCCTCTCTACCGCGCCGCGCCAAGCACGCACAGAGGAGGCGAACGCAGCGGCGGGACCAGAGCACGGGACGTGGTCACGCGGGGACGGAGGCAGCCCTGGAGACCCAGCGCAGGTCCATGCGTGGCCTGACCCGACGCGCGCAGCCACCTCGCCGCGCACCTTGTGGCACGGCTGTCCCTGGAAGATGGCCTAAGGAAGGGCCCCCAAGCGCGGCTCGGCTTCAGCGCCTGCCATGGCTCCCGAATCTGGGCCTGCCGCCTCTGCTGCATCTTGGCACGTGCAAACATTGCCCATCGGTAGGAAGAGGCTACCTGCAAGTTGCCAAGGTGGCAATATTCATAGCCTTACGGTCTCTTGTGCTCTGTAAAATTGCTATAAAGCTGAAGATGTGGCTTCACAAATACTGCGATGCAATGATCTTCAATTCACACAAATAGAAAGCACCTCAAAAGGCAACCCAGGCACTGCCACAAAGGAAAATGGGGATTTATGGATGACATATGTGCTGACATATGCCACATCTGGCGATCCTTAATGGGAAGTTGCCTGTGCATTCAAACTGTCATTCTGCTAATTGCTGAGTTGTAGCAAGCAAGTACATGACCCATTTGCAAGCAGTATATCTCAGGACTGGGGGCAGGCATGGAAAAATAGCAAGCTATGTGAGCGAGAACCATTTAAGCAGTGCCCATCAACCATTTCCTTACAGCTGGCACACCGAAACACTGYGCGTGGTACAACAAAAGTTACATTGACTTTACCAGCTGGGCTGTGGTGATCCATCTCTGCAGCCAACCGGACTGCTCCACAGCTGCCCTGAGAAACAACCCTCACTCTCTCTATCCCTCCGGTTACTTGTGGAGTCATGAACTAATATTCATTGACTAGTAACTTACTTGTGCAAAGAGAGTCTTAAATAAAGGTTTGACCAGTGAGTTCCCTTTCACTGAACTTTCCATTACACTGAAATCTATTAACTTTTGTGGGTTTGCAGATCACAAAAATAATACACACACACACACACATACTAAGCCTAAGCAGAAGCTACAGTTCTCTTTACAGCACAGSACATGATCTCTCCTACCTCTGGTGACCAGTGCCTGTTGTTCCAGGTGTCCCTGGCATGTCCTGGTTGGCTTGGTGCTTCTCAGGATCCTCCCCTTCCTGCCCACATGGACGGCAGACCTATTGTTTCCACCACGACCTGTCAAGAGAGCAAATCTCGTGCTGGAGCAAATCTCATACTTGTGCACCAGCTGGTTCAAAAGACACACAACTACGTGTCTGCATCTGACCTAGACCATGCTGGGCCACTCAGGTTATTTTTAACACAAAATTTGTCACTGGGGAGCCTGGAAAGGACTGGGACAAGAACCAATGGATGTGCTGTGTTCTTAACTGCTACCTGCCACCTCTTACCAGCTGCAGCTCTGCTAAGTTCCTCTACTAGGCTTGTGATTGAAGACTTCAGAAATAAAAAGACTTTTTTTTTTTTCTCCTTATATGCATCTAACAAATCTCACAAACTTCAACATGAGATTTATCCGCATTGTTTGCTGCGTAGTTTGATCCTTAATCTTTCCAAACTCCAGAGCTCATCTAAATATTAAAAGGCTTGGAAAAAAATACAGGTTCTTTAAATCTCTGGTAATAGAAACTTTTGTCATAACTGGGAAGGGGTCAATGTGGTTTTGTACAGTATAATGGATTTGCTGATGAATGAAACATTTCAAACTTTCTGATGGTTTTTATCTACTTTATATTCCAGATGTTAATATAGGTAAATTCTCTAAACTCTCAGACAATTTGTCCACTATGACCATGCAGCTTATAGTGGTCATTGTAACTCTTACATGGATTTTTGAAGTAAAGCTGTTAAATTCTGTAATTTCCTTAAATCCTTCAAGCAAATTAAGAAATACAAGGAAGGGCTTTTCCAATACTGCCTACAAAGTGAACTGGGAGAAATTGGAATTCAAAACATGAAAGTATATTACAGTATGCTGAATAAAACTGAAATGAAACAATTAATTTTGCTCCTTTTTTCTTCCATGTAGAATGACAAAAGGACATTAAGGATCATCCTACATTAGCAACACCTATTCCCCAAGAGTTGATATGTATCATATAATCTCATTTAATGGCCAAAGCAAAATACATATATATGGGCTCAGGAAGACAGAATCAAAAACGCAGTGGAGAAGATCTATTAAAAAAGGTCACCTGGAGCATTCTCTGGCCTTGCAGGGTGGTTTTCTGCATTTGCCAGTCTAATTTTTTTCTGTCTAAAGTGAATTCTGCCATTTCTCCTGGAGATTATTTCACAGACTAAAATCTGACTATCAAAAAGCTCCCCCTTTAGAATCAAGTCAGAACCTTCTCTTTTCTGTTTCATTCTATTACTTAGTTTAGCTTCATCTGTGCTCCTATGTGAAAGCCTGATCTTCTCCCCAGCTTGCTTGCACAAACAATATTTATGTCCAATAATCCCACAAGTTATTAAGGTTATTAAGGTTAGCAGGCTTGCAAAACATAAGCTGAATTTTGTTCATTTAAATCACTCTGATCTGTCTTAGTTTATGACCATGCTGCTTGGCTAGCGCTTTAAAAGAGGGGCTTTATCTTTTCTGGCCGTGAGCTCCGTATAATCATTTACTGCAAAATAACCTCAAAGCAGGACAAAACAGAACAGAAGCTTTGAAAATGTATAGACAGCCCAAATTTGCAGCAGGATATTTATCTATTTGTTGCCACAGGACAGTGCTGCTTGCTGTGGCTCACATACCTCTTGTGCTTCCCACACTTTTCCCTAGACACAGTCTTTCCCTTTTGCATTTTCTAGCTGTGTTCAGTCGCAGTAAGATTGTTCTCCCAGGTCAGCGGTACGTTGAAATAGGTCTGACAGACACTAACATGATGCTGCATTTTTACAGCACAAAGCCATTTTTGTGCAGACCAGTTTTGCACGCCCATCCCTTCTCTACCTTTGGCCAGCCCGTCSAGCTGCGGTGGCCTCTCGGCCTCCCACAGCAGCTCCAACAAACCACGCAGGGGTCCCTCATGCAGGGGAGATGCTGGGCTGGGTGTGATTAAGGTTTGAAATGAATTCAGGTTCACAAAATTTAACTACAAAACCAGTATAAGGGCTGCTGGCATGCAGCAGGGTTCGGCAGCAGGAAAGGTCCTTCTGCTGGGAAGGGAACCAGGGAAGTTTATGGGAACTCCTGAAGAAAATCCATAGCAACCTTGCAAGGAAACAGGATCGAAGGCATAGCAATAAATATACAGAACAACTCAGCAGGAAGGATAAAAATGAAGAGGAATGGTCTGACTCAAAGTACGTGATTGAGAGAGCACGCAAGAGGGAGCAGAAGAGCTGTCATGAGAAAGACCAACTAGCTTTGGTTAGGAAACACATACTTCATGTTTTGTTTTTATCCTGTTTTTAACTACCTAACCCAACTACAGATCAGATAAAGTTTGTCCAAGTTAAAGACTCAGAAAGGCCTAAGCGAAACTAGGCTTTCAAAATATATATTCTAATGCTTCAGGGAAGGGAGTACTAAATTAGGTTCCTCATCTTGCACTAATTTAAAATTACTAGTAAAATTAACTGAATAATTCACAGTGGATAATTTATTTGATCAATGTTACTTCTCTCTTTGACAGCTGTTCCCAAGCAGAGCAAGTTTTCCTCATATACATCAGATTTTTAATATTACTTATTAAATTGCTCATTTAAACAAAATCCTAGGTCTGCTGCTTATCCATGAATATATTCCCCTGAATATCCAACAGTCACTTTGAGAGACAGGAGGTCAGAACAGCATATGTTTTCCTGACTGGGGTCTCTTGCTTACTGACTGCCTTAATCCTCATATGGGGTAGCTGGAGTGATGCAGGGTCCCTTCTGGCTTGCGTACCTGCAGTTCCTCCCCAAGGCAATCAAGTGTGGAGAGGCAAAAGGTAAAGCACTGTGCACCTAAAAGTCACCCTCTCAACCTGCCAAGGCACCTGCATCCTGAAGCATAAATGTTGCCACCGACTATTGGAATAAAATTTCTATTATAAAAAGTAACGACTGGGAATCCAATGGCTATTTCTGCTGTCAGAATAGCTTACCACTGCTTTAAGCTTGGAAAGAGAATGCAAGAGTTAAGACCATAGTCAAAGAGTGCTTAGACATCTAAGGATCTAAGGATGCAGATAATACTGGGATTTTTAAAAATGTCCTGAGATGTTTTTGAAAATTCGAGGGACAAACTATTTAGTTTTTTGGTCATCTAAATAGGGACAAACTATTTAGATTTTTGGTCATCTAAATAACCCTTGAATCTGCTTAAAAGTGATATGAACAATCATCCTTTTTTTTTTTTTTCCTTCTTCTTCTTCCTTTTTTWTTTCTTCCTTTTTTTKACYTGCTGTTTTTCCAAGCCCTAGCTATCTGAATTCCGCATGAGTGAACCAGACCCTTCCTGACAGGCATGTTATAATGCTTGGATGAGAAGAAATGACTAAGGAACAAATCTTTAATATTTTAAACCTCACAGAAAGCTAAAAATCACAGAATTCACCACTGGATTGAAAAGCCAATACAACGCAATGCAGCAGAGACCTGTAGTGATGACAGGCTACATTTTAACTAAATGGCAAGACTTAATTAACACTGCCTCAGCCTAGGTTCAGAATAAACTACAGCKTATATTGTATGATTAACTGCTCTGTGCTCTAGTGAGGGTGGGAGAAAGAGAGATTGCAAATGCAAATTGCAAAAAAGCATAGGCTCTTTCCAGAATTTAATTAAAGAAATGCAAAGAAGTTACTGCTGTGACTACAGTTTCTCCTTTGGGCAACAAAAGACAAATATAGTACATGGGAAAGGAGAAATTCAGAAATACGAAGGGAAAAAACTCCTAAACAAATCCCAAATAATTGAGTTGTTCCTGGTTGGCAAGATTTCTTCTTCGCATCTCCTGATCAAATTGACTTAGATAACATCTATTAACATGCTGAGACTATTGCATAAATTCTCTTTTGAAATTTCTGTGTGTTTTACTTTTTTTTTTCTCCCCCTTCCAGTTAATGTTGGAGATCTAATATAATAGATAGTACAAAGACTTAAAAAGACTTACATTAAAAAAGTAAAAAGACTTACATTAGAGAAACAGCTATTAAGTCTTTAAGAGCCACTCAGGGAACATCAACCAGCTCATGTTGTACTTGGAGACAACGAAAAGAGTTACCGTGATCTGATAACTTATCTGCTAATTATGGAGAGATAGTGTAGTTCATAAAACACTAACAATACTTCCAACTTGTAAAATATTCCGGATACCCCAGTTGCCTTTTCAGATTTTTTTTTTTTTTTTTTTTTTGTACTATATGTTCAGGAGAGACATCTAAGTAGAACATAAAAAATCTATGGACTTCAAAGAATTATATATCTGCTCTAGCACTACACGTCTGCTTTGCTTATTAAAAGAGAAAAAGAAAAAAATAGAGAAGAGCAATATGAAAAAAAAGAGAGTAATTTTGAGGGGAAACAATAGAAAACGGAAATGAATAAAAACCTTTTCTAAAACTTAAGCTTCATGTTCTTTTCCATGTCCTCCCTCCCTTTTTAATTACTCCTGCTATGTAGGTCTTTAATTCAAAAAATTATCAAAATGTAAGACTATTTGATTAAAGCTACTATATTTATTTTTAGTAGGCCAGCTTTGAGACCAGCTTTGCTAGTCTAACAGGTGCTGAAATATCTATTCAAATTAGACCAACTCAAGCAGTCATTTTAAAATACAGAAGCTCATTCACGCAAGACACCTTCTCAAGGGGGAGGCAAGCTCTCAAACTCAGGACCTGGGTTTTAATCCAAGGTTCTGTTTAAGCAGTAAGACGACCTCGGATGCATTTTGCACTCTGTAGCCTTTCCTTCTGACCACAGTTCTCACCGGACCTTTAGGCCTGCTGYCAGAAAGACACTGCTGGTAAGGTTCGCCACAGCCAAAGGAATGGGAACTGAAGGAGTATTAGGCAACAGCACTGAAATTTTGAAGTTTGAAAGATTTTTTTCTGCATAGGATTGACAGACAGGAGAACTGGTACTAAAAGCTACAGATGTGACCCAAGCCTAATGTGAAATGACAGTGC